TGTCCTTTTTCCAAAGATGTCTTATTGAAGTTTTAAATAAAGAAAATATTAGATAAAATTTTCCTCAGAAAGATATCTTTGGTTACATGTGAGGAATAGATGGCAAGTAAAAAGTGACATGAGGGACAAATAAAAGAAGATGTAGAAACCTGATGAGCAGATAAGAGCAGTGAAGTGAGGGGAGGGAAGAGAAGGAGAGGGAGGAACAGGAGAGGGAAATACAGAGATTTCAAACACGCCCAAAGTAAAAGAGATAAAGGTACCTGGCTCAGTTACTCACACCTTTAACCTTAGTTACTCAGAAGGCAGAGAATAGGCAAAACTACAGGCCTTTATGGGAAAAATAAACAAATGCAAAATAGGGATGGATATGTGGGGCCAAGTGGGAAAATGCCTGCTTACCAAGGGTGACATCCTTTATTCAAACCCGAGGAACACTTAAATAATGAAATAGATAAAACCAGATCATATCCCTGGGTTTGAGCTGCAGTGATGTGAGAAATAAAATAGGCAAGTTAAATATAATGCTCAAACTTCCTTTCTAGGAAAGACTATTAACATAGGGAAATGGTTGGGAGAAAAATAAGAATTTTAGGTGTGTATTATTAGAGATATCCAAGTAGGTATGTCTAGTGGACAGCTGGGAGATAGAATTTGTAAACCAAATAATAAACGAAGGTGTGGTAGAAATGTGTGAAGTGTACTACGATGAAAAAACGACCAAATTTACGTGTCTGAAAGAGGATATTGGGATTGAAAGTGCTTTATTCTGTATTACGAAACTTTGTTCCGAGCTACCTGGGAGGCAGAAATCTGGAAAATCATAGTTTGAGGCTAGCCTGGGAAGAAAGTGAGATCTCATCCAACACAAGTAGAGAATGGTGGTCTGTGTCATGTCATTACAGCTGTGTGGTAGGTCATAAGAAGCCAGTGCAGAGCTGGACAAAAAGTGAGATCCTAATTCTTGCTACTCAGGAGACTGAGATCTGAGGATCATGGTTCAGGAAAGTCAGTGAGACCCTCAACTCCAACTAATGCCAGAAGTGGAGCTGCAACTCAAATTGGCAGAGTATGAGCCTTGAGTGAACAAGGTCAGGGGCAGGGGCCAGGCCCTGAATTCAAGTCCCACAATTGGGCGGGGGGTGGGGGGGTTGGGGGGGAAGAGAAACAGAGAGAGACAGAAAAAGACAGAGAGACAGAGAACTGAGATCTTATCAGAAAAATAACCTAGTGCTGGTGGCTCAAGCCTGTAATCCTAGCTACTCAGGAGGCTGAGATCTGAGGATTGCAGTTCAAAGCCAGCCCTGGCAAGGAATTCCAGGAGACTCTTATCTCCAATAAACCACTCAGAAAACCGGAATGGTGCTGTGGCTCAAGTGGTAGAGTGTTCACTTTGAGCTGAAGAGCTGAGGAACAGTGCCCAGGCCCAGAGTTCAAGCCCCATAACGGACAAAAAAAAAAATTTAAAAAGGAGGAGGAGCATGTAAATATTGCCATAACTATTTTAAAATATATTAGAAATATGCATAAGTTAGAAATCTACATTTGGATACACCAAACAGACAGAATATAGATATTGTTTTACTGTTCAATCCCTAAACATAGCTATATATGATAAATTTATCATCACAATAAAATAAGAAAATGTGTTTATTAACCGCGAGCATGTATGAAATGACTGGGAACTACAGAAAGAGATTGGTATGGCAAACCTAGACATTTGTATGAAATAAAAGGATTCTACCACCAGAGCCATGTGTCTATTTTTTCCTCCTGGTGTCACATTCCACAGATTCCTGCTCACTTCCTATTTAGGGGTATACCCTATTAGAGGTCTCAATTTGCTCACAATATTGGGACATCTTTTCTTTGGTATTTCAAACTGCTTGGTAACATTTCAGCTTGTTCCATATAAACCTGTTCCATAAACACAATTAGTAAAAACAAGCAAAATAACTCTGGAATAATGCTGCTGGCCACTTTGAAAATTATCTCACCATCACTTCAACTCATCACTAGGTAAGAGCAACAGTAATGTAAGGTGTTCTACTGAGATGTTCAGAATATCAGTGTTCCCATGGAGTACAACCTGAGGCTATAATGAAAGTTTAAGATTGAAAGTAAACAAAGTAACATCATTTACTCTTTCCACTGTGCTCTTAATAGGGAAGAGAACCATTTTAAATTTCTATTCCTGGGTGGGATATCCTCATTACTAAATATGAAACCATCTTTTTTTCTTTCATGCATGTGTTTCTAACGTATATATAAGATTATCTCTTTGTTGCTTTGTATGTCCCTCCCCCACAGTATAACCCCTGCTTTCACTATATTTGATGTCAGTATAACTTGTGGAGGAAATGGGGAAAAACCAGTTGTTTAAGGATACAGGTGGACCTGTTGCAACAATGAGAAGTACAAGTTGTCATGTCCAAAACGAGCTTTACAACGTTGGTGCGGGGGAGGGGGGAAGGGGGGGGAAGGAGAAGGATTGGGATTGGGGGGGAGGGGGGAGGCTGGGAAGGGATGTGAAGGGTAAACAAAGGAGGAGGCTGCAATGCTTGGTAAGAAATGTACGCATTATCCTGCCCATGTAATTGTAACTCCTCTGTACAGTATGTTCACAAATAAAATAAAATTAAAAAAATATGAAACCATCTCACAGACAAGTGGTAAGATGAGTGCTCTTATCCCATCAGGGGTGAAACAAGGAGTTGGACTGATAGCTCCCTTGAGCAGAGGAATGGAAAGCCAGGTCAAATTTTCATTCTTCATGCTACAGTTTTTTATCTTATCATCATTCTAGTTAGAAGGAAAATTGTTTTTAATAGCAAAAAGGTTTTTTTAAAATTAAAATTTGTTTTTACAACTGTACAGCTATCCTTATTACTCTGAAAACCATTGGCTGATGCTCTGGTTTGTCCGTTTAGCAATAAAAACTGAAAAGCAGCATTCCAGAAGGAATAAAGTAAAAACTGCTACTAAGAGTACAATTATAGGAAGTGGTGCTGTGGCTCAAGTAGTAGAGCACAGTCGCCTTGAGCTGAAGAACTCAGGGATAATGCCCAGGCCCAGAGTTCAAGCCCCACAACTGACAAAAAAAAAGTGGCTCCAAGAGTAAATAATGTGCAGATATTTTTCAGTAAAAATAGAATGAAAAAAAATCTACTTTTTAGCTCAGTTAATATATCTACATGTTTATTTACAATGGTTGAAAAAAAACCTCAAACAAGTAAAAGAATTCAGCCTGCTGAATTCATGATTCAGTCTGCTGATCATTCATATTTTTCCAGTACCATCTCTTATTACTTGAATGACCTTCCTTTGGCCATTTCTATCATAAGAAAATATACCAAGTTATTGTATATGCAATCTATTGCATATCTGATGACAAATTCCTTCATTTAGAAGCTGTTTTGACATCTACCTTGAATGGACTGAAATTGAAGAAAAAAGAAAAAAAGTAGAGTAGAAAAAGAAGATTATTTTCAGTATGATTTTTCAGAGCAATTCTCCAGTTAGCTCATAGATGATGGCTTTCTGGAAGATGCAGGCATTTAGTATCACTACTATGCCTGTTTTCTCAAAATACAATCCATCTCATCTACACTGGTAGCATAAAAATTTGTGCTTACCCCTTCTAGCTCAGAGTCCCATCCTCTATTGTATCACTTGTTCCCATTTTCACCCCACTTCTAAACTGGATCTCTGATAGACTAACCCATTTCTCCAAATAAATGAAATGTGTAGTCTTTTAATTTTTAATGAACAGTAAAAATTTCAAAATGTAAAGACATACAATGAGACAACTACACAAAACACCTATCATTATGCTAGAGATGTAATTTTAAACCGAAAGATTAAAATTATTGATTATCCAAGTACATGTAAGTCCATGTGTGTATATGTCATATATGTGCATTTTATCCCAACATACAAATTTAAATTTTAAATAAGTTTTTTCTCAGTACTGGCGATCAAATCCAGATTCTTCTGTTTACCCCCGAGCCACATTCCTATTCAACTTTAAGGTTTTCTAATTACAAAAAGAGACATTTCACTTTAAAAAATACATCAATTTTAAATGGAGGTTAATGACCAAATTTTATTTTTTCTTTATAAAAAGAAATTGGTCAAACCATTAAAAAATACAAAACACACAAATCAGAAAATAATTTAATGTGTTGTTACATAACTTGATTAGAATACATTCTTGTCACTTACATCTCTACCATTTTAAAAAATGGTTTTTCATTTTTATTTAGCTATTCACCTCTTAGAGGTTAGAAATTTAGGAATCATTACTAAAACAATATTTTACTTACTGATTTTTCCTAAGTACAGTAGTGTTAACTAACTGAAATAAAATTTGTATCTGTATTTATTGGCAACTTATATTTTACATTTGTATCCTAACATTAGGGCAGTCTGGAATTTTACAATTTGGTATTAGAATCTGCAAATATTAAAAGTACATTTGGAGTAAAATTAAAGCAAAAGTCAGTATATTTCATGATTAAGGCACATAATTTTCAATACAGTAATGTAGCTATAAGTTTATTATGTATATAAATGTCTTATGTAAGAATTAATTTGGTTTACAAAGCTTTTATTATTTACTATAAAACCACTAGTAAAATAATTTTATGTGAGAATGTTACCTTATTTAAATAAATTTTCAAGACTATCTAAAATTTAATTTACAAATCTGGTAAACTAAGTGCTTACTATTCCTTCTTTGAATGTTCTGTACATACATTTTTGGTAATTGCTCCATTTCTTATTACAGGTAAAAATCTTGTGTTGGGTTACACAGGGTATACTACCACAATCATTTCCTTCATCATATTATTAAACCCTCAGAATTTCTTCTTATGTATAAAAATGATATATGATGTACTTATATTATCTCTAAGATTTTTTTCAATTGTAACACTGAATAATAAAAAGCAAAATTATAAAAATTTAGATATTTATAAACTACCTTATAAATAATTTAAAACAATGTGTTAAAATACATATTTCTATGTTAAAATTATTAGAATTATTTTAGTTTTATTTCTCTAAAATCTTACTGTCAGTTTTAAATTACACTTAAGAGTTTAGTTCTAAAATATACTCATCAAGGCTTCTTAGAACATACTGATATAAGGTCAAAACCATGTTCTAAGCATTACAAGCACTGGGGTAATTATTATAGAATTCTTCTGTCAACACAGATATATCCATCACAACAAAATGAAATAAAATTAGAGCTTTTAACTGAAAATGTAAACATACCACAAATTTGTCTCTGACTCTTTATCTCACTCGCAGAACTCAGAGCCTGAGCTCACACTGGCTTTATCATTCATGTCTGGCTCTCTATAATGTGAGCACATCTCTAGTTTCAGCTTTTTACTTGTTAATGGAGATAGGACACTCATGAACTAATCTGCCTGGGCTGATTCCAAACACCTCTTCTCAGATCTCAAGGTCTCCTGAGTAGGTAGGATTATAGGAGTCATTAACATGAGACAAACAGATTTATTTACTATCTGACCTTAAAGAATTCCTCTCAAATATGTTTAATTTCAGTGAAAAAGTAGAAAATCTTGATTTGTCTTATGAACAGATAAGTAACTCATAAGTAGGTGCATTCAGTAGATTTAGGTTTAAAGACAAGTGTCCTCTTATTTTAGTTCCCTTTTCATGTTTGTGTTATTTAAAGTTTCCTTGTTAAAATAACACATTCTTAACACTGGTCAAATGAGACAAGTATCAACACTTAAGAGTAGCTCTACTAGAACAATATGAAGTGGGAATGCAATGGGAAGATAAAAATAAGGTAGTAACAACTTTGGGAATAACATAAATATCAATCTAAGTTTAATACTTCAAAATTATTGTTTCATTTCTCAAATTATGAAAATCTAATGCTTTTGAGAGGCACTAGAATGTATTACTTTACAATGATATTTATTATTAGAAATGTAACTTCTTGGTATAAAAGTTTTAAGTATGACTACAAAAAAATGTTCAATGCTTCCCCCAAATTTAGGAAAATCTGAAGTAATGTTTTAATGTATTAAAATAGGAGTTCTATGGTTTAATGAACACTTAGAGAATATTTTTGGGGACCACTATGATATTCTGTTTTATGACACTAAAGATCACTGATAATTTCTGATCCCACTTGAGGAGTACCTGTATTCAAAAGCAAATCATACTCAAAGGCTAGTTCTTCAATTTAGAGATTGGGATTCATTCCAATCCAGTGCTTGATTAATTGATGTGCAATAGCTCGGCTTGGTGGTACAAAGAACTTTTGCTGCTTCCCTTTAGTAAGAATATCCACAACCTAAAATATACCATAATAAAAGAAAATGGATTAGGATCTCAGCACTAGCATATTTAAATACTATTTCCATGACTATATTATTTATCTAAAATGTGATGACCTTTCCAGTGAGTAACAAGAGCAGAAAGTGACATCTGTAGCATCTATAATTTAGTGTAGCTTCACTAAATTATTGTTTGATTTTTCAAATCCAGAAAAGCATATGAACATGGGATCACAGAAAGGCAAATGGTATTTTCACATTTAACTTCAAACTAAAGCCAACTTTTGAGGCAGGTTCATTTTCTTTCCCCAAATTCTGAAACAGCCATCTAATTTCTCATTTTATATTCAAATTCCACTTGAATTTCTATATTAAAACTGAGCAGCTGTATATTAAAACTCCTTTTGGAGTTTTAGCACAAAATAACACTAATTTTATATAGGCAAAGTCAGATAGGATTTCAGGTCTTTACTATAATAATGTATTCCTTTCTTAAACATATCAATGCTTTGGATCACATAAAACAAGACAGGTAATTTATCTTCACTGTATTACTTAGGGTTATATTTTATTTTATTCTTTATAGTACAAGGGTTTAAACTCAAGGCCTTGTACTTGTTACAGAGTACTCTACCACTTGAGCTCTATTTTGCTTAAGTTGTTTTTCAGAGGGCCTTGTGTTTTAGCTTTGGCCTGACCTTAGATTCTGACATTACTACCTATATAAGCCATGGCTTACTTGTTGAAATGGAACCTTGGTTTTTTTTTCTGAGCTGGACTTGAAGTCTACCTTCTCAATCTCTGTCTTCCAAGGAGGTATGACTGTAAGTGTGAGTCACCACACTTGGCCCAGGGATGTTATTCTAAAATGTTCTTGTGAATGTATATTTGTAATGGATTTAAGCCATTTTTGTCCTTTAGAACAGTTCAAAATACAGGCTTCAAAAATTGTAACTGATATTGTTTAATATTATAACCTGAAATATAAAGTATCTCAGAATAAGTATTTACCTCTTAACTTTAAATTATCATTGATTTGAATGAATAGTTAAATTTGAAATGGCATGAAATCATCATCATTAGAAAAATCTCATAGAATGACCTAAAACAGGATACACGGGGGGAACACACACTTTTCCTATATGGAATTATTAATTACATTGTAAACCATGCATAATGAGAGAGCTGTAGCCATTCACCCAACTTACTGAAAATATGCTTCCTTGCTACATGCCCAAACCAATACTGTCAGGGAACAATCAATAGAAGAAGGAAATTAAATTGAACTTTACCTGTTCTCTAGTGAACCAGCGGGCATCCTCTATTTCATTCTTGTCAACTTTAATTTCTGTAGATACTGCAACAGCTAAACAACCGATCATTAAGGAAGAGGGCATTGGCCATGGCTGACAAGAGACATACTGAACATGGCCAACTTTGACTCCACTTTCCTCTTCTACTTCTCTCCTAACAGCATCTTCTATTGTCTCGCCTAATGAAACAGAGCAAAAGAACAAGTTGTTGATGAACATGCTTTGGACATTTTGTGCTACAGTTTAAAAATTTGGAAATCACTTTGGAAACATACTCAAATAAAAGAATCCTAATAGAAATGAAAAATCATTACTTTTAGAAGTAGATAACTGCATATAGACTATATATTCAAACAAAACTTTCACTTTTCACCTTTTTTTAAAGGCCTGTTACATTTCAAACAATTATTTTTTATAAGAACTACAGCTATCTGTCCCTACTGACCAAGCATTATGTAAACATATTGGATATGCTATCATATTTTATATTATACTTAAATTATCTTTATTATGTTTTTACAAATAAATAGTTTTCCCCATTAGAATATTGAAGCTCTTTTTGAAAATTATATTATCAATTACTACAGATCATTCTTTCCAGGTCACTGAAAGTTGTAAAAACATATATCATTTTCTTTCAAGGCAATTCCTTTCCTCTAAATTAGTGATGACTAATCTATGATAAAGTGATATGCACAAATATTTTTTATATTTTTTATTTAGTTGGAATTCGGAATTCAAATAGAAAATATTTGTAAATAAAATTAACCTAGATATTTAGAAATATTTTGTTAAATACAGGAATACTTAGCAAAATATGTATTTAAATAGATTTCTATTTTATATAGATTGATACATTTCCTCATAAAAATTAAGAACTTATCATAAAAATGTCATATTGAAGTCATATTAGCATACTTTCAATACATTAAAATTTAGCGTATGACACATACTTAAAAACTGCTAAAATCAGCTAGTCACTGGTGACTCATGCTAATTCTAAATACTCAGGAGCTATGATCTGAGGATCATGGTCCAAAGCCAGCCTTGGTAGGAAAGTCTGTGAGACAGTTTGAGGCCCCCTATCTGCAATTAACTGCCAAAAAAGCTAAAAGTAGACCTGTGGCTCAAGTGGTAGACCACTGCTTTGATGCCCAAAGCTCTAGGAGAGCATACACACACACACACACACACACACACACACCTTCCTACCCAAAAATGTACTAAAATAAATTAGAAAACAACTAACCAAAACAAAAATAAACAAAAGCTATAAACATCTAAAATTCAAAGAACAGGAATGTTAGATGTATAGTACACATTTCAAAATATTGTTCCATCAGCAGAGCAATCAAAATGAAAACCACATTGATATTCTACTTTATACCTCTAAAATGACAAATTTAAAAGTCTGAAGATCCTAAGTGGGTGATAATGTAGAATAATAGAAAATTTCCCACACTGCTGGAAATACATGACAATTGGTAGAAACATTTGAGAAGGAAACTTGGACAATATCTAGGAAAGGTTAACATAGTTATACCATATGTGTTACTCATTTATGTATATAGTCTAGATAACTCTTGGAAATATATATATATACATATATATATATATATCATATATCTTAAGAGAAGCATGAAATATTCACTGCAGAACTTTTCGTAATAGTCAAGAACCTTGAAATAACCTAATTGTCTGCATCAGAAAGTGTGAATAGTGTAATATCGATAAATGGAATGCAATCTAGCAATTAAAATTTAAGCTAAAACTGTTTTTTTTTAAAAAAAAAAAAAACCAACAACAACAGCATAGTGATCAAGATCAAGGACTCAGAAGTAAAATGGCTTTGGCCTGAATCTCTTCCCTTCACTTTTAGTTATTTATTCCCTGTGCCTTACTGTCATCATCTGTAAAACTGCTGTAATAGTACCTGTAAGATTTATGAGAATCATATAATTTAAACATGTAAGACTTCTAAACATACCCTGGCTTTGCATGTTCACTACTGATATCATGTAGCATTTCAGATTACAGTAAAAATTGAGATTAAATAGTTATCGATGAATGTATAATCACTCATTTGTTTTAAAAATACTATCGAAGCTCCTACTGCAAGAGTCATCTGAGGGCTTGGGGCATATAAATGAACTGCCCTTATCAAACTGGCATTTTAGTAAGTATAGAAAGAAAAACAATACATTCATATCACCTTAGGAGCAGAGTGCTACAGGAAAAAAGTCATATCGGCCTAAGAACTGTGAATGCAGGATACAGGGATATTGGCACAATTGCATATAACCTCTTTGAAAAGGTGACAGTTAAGTACAATGAAGGGGTGTATAAATCATTTAGATACATGGCCAAAACCATTCAGATACATGTATGACAAAGCAAATACTGAATATTTGATTAATGAACATTACTAGTAAAAGCATGAAAATTACAACATATTTGGGTGTCATTAAAGTGATACATATTTGAAATATTTTAAATAACTCAGATATGAATTATATCTGAAACACTATTTTTTATTTACAAATTATAAAAATTATTCAGAAAAGGCTTACCAGGCTCAATAAATCCAGCAAGACAAGTAAACATTCCTGGGGGAAATCTTTTCTGCCTGCCTAGAAGACATTTAGTCCCATCTGGATGAACAACTTGCATAATAACTACTGGATCTGTGTAAAACAATCAGATATATGAATGACAGGAAGAAATAATTCAGAGTCACTGTGCAAAGAAACTGTCTGTAGAATAATATAAAGGTATAGCTTCTGTAGGAACAAGATTCTTGTTGTTTTGTAAGAAATTGATCCTTCCTGCCGTGATGTGGCTGACAATAAAGTATATGAGAGAAATCCCATAGAATATTGCCATTCAGCATAAGAAAGATTCTTTTTTTGTCAGTTGTGGGGCTTGAACTCTGGTCCTGGGTACTCTTCAGCTCTTCAGCTCAAGGCAAGCACTCTACCACTTGAGTCATAGTGCCACTTCTAGTTTTCTGGTAGTTTATTGGAGATAAAAGTCTCATAGACTTTCCTGTGCAGGCTGGCTTTGAACCGTGATCCTCAGATCTCAGCCTCTTGAGTAACTAGGACTACAGGCATGAGCCACAAGCACTTGGCAAAAAAGATTCTTTTGCCATCATATCCCCAACTTTTAGCAATGTTTATTCTTTTTTTATGCTATGTGAGGCATATTTTTATTTTTTAATGAGAAAAAAGCTTGAGTGGCAATATATTGACATGGGGAAAATTGAAAGTTTACTAATAAATACAGCAAATATCCTCCTTTCTCTTCAATCCTTAATAAAATAGTTTTACAAGCTAATGATTCAGTTTAGGTTATTATAATACTAAAACTTAAATTACAGTTTACTACTCTAGAAGCTACTGGTCCAGCAAATTCTCTTGAATAGATTATAATTGAAAAGGAAGAAATAAATGTAAAAATTCTCCTGAGAACAAAACTAGATGCCACTAGGCCATAATTTATTTCCTAGAGGCTTACTTGTGTTTGTTGAATAGATCTATTCTTTTTTTTTTAAGTTTTTAAAGGGATGGATATCAGATATCCAAACTTACACATAAAGCAGAAACTAGAATGAAAGAAGGTATAGGCAGATATTAGTAGGAACGAGGAGCCAGTTCCCGGTTGTATTGCTTTGGTAAAGCCATAATCAAGCCCTGAATTGTTGGAGGTATTATCTCTTTCCATAAGGAGCCAGATCAGCTGGCTTTTTCTTTCTATATAATATTTTCAAATTATGACCCATTTAAATGATTCACATAAGAAAACAGGAATTTGGTGCCAAGGAATCAAATCTCAAGATGACTATAGTTTCTCTTTTATGTAAGTTCCCAAGAGGACCAGAGTACACACTATGACACATACTCTTCTTCAGGGTGAACTGGCCACTTCTTATCAAGAACTAGGGTTATTCCTCCTTTGAATCTGGAATGGCCAGTGAAAAAGATAAAATTACAAGAATCAGTGGAAGTGACTTGGTGAGACTTCTAAGGTTAGGTTAGAGAAGGCCAGCCTCTCTTGGGTTCTCTTGAGAGATTTAATGTGGGGAAAATTAAGATACCTAAAATCAACATGTTGAAGAGGCCACATGTAAGCATTCTTGTTGACAATTCCAGCAGAATCCAACCTTACCTTTTTCCCTAACAACTTGTGAATGACAAAGCTAAATCTTAATAGTGGTCCCTCCAGCCTTGGCACCTAGCCACTCAAGTCTTTTCAAGTTAATGCTGCAGACATTGGGGAGCAGAGACAAGTCACTTCTATCCAAATTACCAACCCACAGAATCCTTGATCATAATGAGAGGGTCTACTGTCTACTGTTTTAACACAAACATGACTTACCAACTCTTGGGTATGATGTATTATGAACACCTTGGAGACTAGGACAGTCTTCTTTCAAGCATACTCTTTTATAGCCACCTTCTTCAATCTTCGTTGCACTTCCACAAGTTGGGCAGAACTTGTATCGACTATGCCAAGCAAGAACAGATCTTGCTTGAGCTACAACCCCTTATGAAAGAAACACAAAAAATTTCATTCTATGACCAATTGTAAAAGAAAATTAATATGTGTATGATGTTCTTGAGCTATAATAAACACCACACAATATTTTCTGAATAATTGTTTAATGAATGGTTTGAGTATTTGTTTTTATGATGTGTACTTTTTGTTATCTTTCAGATGTTAAAAATCAGACTTAATTTTCATTTGAATAAAATATAATTCTCTTTTAAGACAGACAAACATATATATTACATATATATACATGTATATATTACATATATACATATAGGTGAAGCTTTTATTATAGATGACTTTTAAATTTAGCATATATGATCCTAGTGTATTTACAAATACAACTTTCTAGTAGTAAGTTTTATAAAAATGTTATAGCTGGGCTGAAGATGTAGCTCAGTGGTTGGGTACCTGCTTTGTATACATGAGACCTAGGTTTGATCCCAGACTTTGGTAAAAATAAATACAATAGAGCAATCTTAACTTAGATTTGAATCTTAAAGGAAATGCTACTAGGAAATTATAGATGTCTATCTCTATTCTGCTTTTTTTGGTCATTAGGCTACTCTTGGTCCATGCCAAGGGGAACATATTTCATTTGGAGGATGCATTTATATATATATACATATATTTATAATATTTATATTATAGCATTTATATATCTACTAGAATAAATCTTAGAAAAAACATACTTTGGCTATAGCTTTTTACACTGGTACTTAAAAAAATAGAATGACATGACCAGAAATATAATAAGCATTAAAACTAGAAACATTTGAATATTGAATAACTGTTGAAATATTTGAACTTGCCTAATTAAACTTGTTCTCCTTCACATATATTATTTGGGTCATGAAATTGTGAACAAACAAGATGATAATAAATGACAACAACAATATTTAGAATGAAATGAACAAAACATCAATAAGAACAATTATAACACTGAAATTCCATGAACTAGACAGCCTTAAATAATTGCCTATTACTTTGTAATATGTAATTCAGTTTTCACTAAGATATCTACATTATTTCAGGATCATTACATTTAGAAAAAATGGACATTCATTAACTACCAAATGTACCAAATGCTATCTAAAGAACTTTATATGAGTAATTTACTTATTTTATTTAATGGTTAGAGTAATTCTATGAGGGAGGGAAATACTATTATCCTTATTGTCTAGAAGAGGACTGATGTACAGAGAAGTGACTGTAAAGTTATACAGTAGGTGAGCTAAGGGTCTTGGTTTCCTTACTAGTAAAATAAGAGATAAAAATGCAAATAGCTCATTTGTAAGATTTTTTTTAAATCTTAAAATTATACATATATCTTCAAGGGAAATCAATTTTTAAAGTTCAGCTATTCCTTCGTAGATGTGGAATATAAAATACAGTCATTCCAGACTTTGAAAAAGAACTACCTAGTTGTCTCTAGAAGGGCTCAGCATTATGCCCTAAGGAAAGTCAGACATTGCTAAGTGATTCCCCTTCTTAATCTCTCATTAATTGATCTGGCTACTGGTACTTCCACTCCACTGATATTCCTTCTGTTGAATCCAAGAAAAGCTTCATTATATCAAAACTAAGATCCATGAAAAATAATGTCTTCATCTTACTGAAATTCAACCTACTTGACCACTTCTTCCTTGATGAGACTCCTTCTTTGACAAAAACTTCAGAAAGTTCCTAATGGAGATAGCCTATCTTTACTGCTTACTAGAAAAGGCATGTTATTTGGAAACTGCAAATAGCAAATCAATCCTAAAAACCAGATTATTACCAATACAGGGTTTCTTACCAGCTTCTTTTTCTTTCAACTGAAGAAGAGCTGGCATTGGAGGATGAAGAAAGTAACAATTTTCATGTCTTTGCTTAAATTCTTCAGCAGCCATGGGATCTATACCTAGAGCAAACCAGGCAACCAACCCATCATCCTCCTCTCTTGGGACTTCTCCATTGTAATTATTTAACTTTTTTTTCATTTCAAGTTCTACTCCAAGAAAAATCAAGGTGATCTTCTCAGGCTGAGCCAAATAATCCTTTATATCTGTGTAATTCAGCTGACAAAGCCTGACTTCTGGCTGTTGAAAACTTTCTTTATTGCCACCTAGAGTAACCAAGGGATTTAATTCTGAGAAAAGGATATAAACTGTGGCTGGATGGCTTTCTTTCGCTATGAGCCAGTCAGTATTATTTCTTTTTTCACTTTTCCGGTCCAGTAGGGTTCTGCTAAAATAATTCTCACCTTCTTCCACCTCATTGGTTAGGAACCAAGGCTTCTTCCCACCTTTAGCATTAGCTAGTAAGTTAGCTATATGCTTATAACCCCAAAATGTAGCAATATCCAGTGCGGTTTGCCTTGATTTATTGACAATTGATCTGTCACACCTACAGACGGAGGAAAATATTGAGGAGGAAAAAGAACAAGAATTCAACTTTCAAAATTTATTTTCAACAAAATAATTCCAGATACCAACATTGTTACTCTAATGATTACTTTTGGTATCTTGTTTAGTACATGGTTTGTTACTGAGGTAAAAAAACTAATCATATAATAATCACAAGCGATGGAAGGTTAGAGATAGTGGAAACTTTAAAATTCCGGATTTGTAAAATTCTGGATAGCTATTTGTAAAATGCAAATCAACAGTTTTATATGTCATAAACAGATAACAAAATTTTACAGATTTCTTGAAGGCCATAATAAATTTGGGAGAGAACGATTAAACCTATTCACAAATTGATTTACTATAAAAATGGTTATTCTCAATAAGTTTAGGGAAGTAGCTCAGACATAGAGCACTTGATTCCTATATATCAGGCATGGGTTCAATCTTCAAAATGAAAACCATAGGCCCAGCACTGCTGGCTCAAGCATATAATCCTAGCTACTCAGAAGACTGAGGTCTGAGAATCACAGTTTGAATCCAGCCTGGGCAGGAGAGTTGGTGAGACTCTTATCTCCAATAAACTACTCAGAAAAAGCCAGAAGTGGAACTGTGGCTCAAGTAGTAGAGCACTAGCCTTGAGCCAAAGAAGCTCAGGGGCAGCACCCAGGCCCAGAGTTCAAGCACCAGTACTGGCAAAAAAAAAAAAAAAGGAAAAACACAGGCAACAAAGCTATTTGCTAAAATTATGCTATATTTTATTATGTATAATTAACTGATAAGTTAATTATTTAATAGCCTAAAATATTAATATGGCTACAAGAAAAATTTGAACTAGATATGGTAGTACATGCTTGTAATCTCAGATACTTGGAAAGTGGAGACAAGAGTTCAAGATTAGCCTCTGAAAAAGGGTAGAAAGACATTGTCTGAAAAAAATTTTTAAAAAAAGGCTGAATGGTTATAGTAAAAGCATTTGCCTAGAATGTGTGAAACATTGAGTTTAATCCCCAATACTAAAGAAAAAGAGAGAAGAAAGGTAAAATAAAGTTTGAAAGTAAATATGTAGGATGAAAATTAAACACATTTTTTTACAAGATAAAACAGGAGATATTAAGATGTTTACCCTTTCTCAAGCAGAAGTTGGACAACATCTGGGTGCCCATTCCTTGCAGCATACATTAAAGCAGTCCAGCCATTTTCAGAAGTTTCATTGAGAAGAGATGGAAAATGATGGAGAATTCCTGTTAGCTTGCCAATATCTCCTTCTGCAGCTGAATTGTGTAGCTGGGAGATTATTTCCTGTTTTGGACTGCTTTTTACAGAAGACATTTCTTCAAGAAAAGGAAAATAAGGGGAAAATATTACTTACAACTGCTTTTTGTGTCAATGGAGGAACACTAAGCATTATCTAACTAATGATAAAATAATGGCTTCCAACAAAATACACTCTTCAAAAGATAGTAAATTGTATGCATTTTAAAATTATTATCAGTGAGAACAAGGGATAAAATAGTGTATAGATTTGGAAGTACAGATGAAGAGGCTTGAGAGGGGAGTGAGAAATATTTCAAAGAAGACTGGATATCTGATGTAGATCAGATAACTTTAGCAAGGATATGATAGGAATGGGGTCAAAGTGGACAAAATTAAAGGCAGGAGTTGTTAGCAGATGACAAGTAGTATCCTTTGATTCTGCACTATCAGGTATAAGCAATTACATTGCAGTTAATTAGTCAAAAGCTTTCTAAGATTCACATAAAGCATAATATATTGTGTTATACAATTAGTTCTCAATCCACATGGTACTGGTTTTCATTCTTAGTCTACAGTGGGCTAGGTCAAGACATTTGTTCATACCAATTGGTAATTCACATGACTCAGCACTATTCTTGAAATTACCATCTTTGTTGTGCTGAACTGCAGCATTATTTAATCTATTATTGGGAATAAGTTTTTTTTTTTTCTTTTTCTTTTTGGTCCGGTTGTGGGGCCTGAACTCTGGGCCTGAGCGCTGTCCCTCGGCTCTTCCGCAAGGCTAGCTCCCTATCACTTGAGTCACAGCACCACTTCTGGCTTTTTTCTTTTATTGCTTATGTGGTGCTGAGGAATCAAACCCAGGGCCTCAGACATGCAAAACAAGCGCTCTACCACTGAGCCACCTTCCCAGCCCCTGGGAATAACTTTTGTTGGATGCCTTTTTGCCCTTGAACCATAGAAACTTTTTCAATCATTAACTTTGTCTGCCTTGTCAATGACATTTCAATGGAAAAAGAAAGTAATAGATTCAAACTTCTTATTAATATTATCTAATTATAAATTACATGCAGGAAGGCACACACTGAGTTATTTTTTGTATGTGATAGTAATTCATGTTTCTAATTTCTATTACCTTCTCAAAGTATCTTTTCAAACAATTAAAAATATTTGGGATTTTAACTATATGTTCATCATTCTAAATAATTGGGTAATTAAATGAAAAAGAGGCTAGAAATCATTTTTCATTACTATTGTTTTTTGTGCTCTGAGTATAAGGTGAACAACTAATGACTATTTTTTAGTGTCTTTCCACGTTTCTTGTTTGAATCTTTCTGATCTGTTTACAAATTAGAACTGATATCTACATTAGCAATTTTTATTTTGCTTAATTTACTCTAGATTTATTTTCCCAATTTTTTCACACTAAAAACTTTTAAAATACTATTAAAATATTGTGAATAACAAAAACCATAACTTTTCAGGACTATTTTTTGAAACATTGCTTCAACCTTTCAAGTTATCTTTATCCTAAATTTATTTGCCATAGATTCTTATTATACAGTTTCTGAAGTAAGGTTTGCTTGAAGTAAGGAATACTTCATTTCCTAGGTTCTACTGACTTCTCTCCTCGCCAACGGTCACAAGGTGATTACAACATTGTCTTTGAAAATAAAATGTTTTTCACTACCACCAATGCATTGTTTATACATACAGATTCTTCAGGAGAAAGGAAGGAAACATTTCCACTTCTATTTTTCAATAGAAAAGCAACCTAGGAATCTACCATTATTCATTTCAGAAAAGCACAGAGATTCTTACAACCAACGACTTGATTTAGCATTTTCATTTTTTGGTAGGTCTCAGGGAAGGATTTAAAGCAGGATAATAAAAGGCTTTGTAAGAAGTTTACGAAGTTAGGTTTCAAAGGTCTGAGATTTTTAACCCAACCCAAAGTCCACTTTTCCTGATGAATAAGGAAGCCAAGGGCCCAAGGCTTGTTCAAAGTTGCATGGCTCCAGTGGCGTTAAACAAGGTCTCCTATGGTCTGTCACTTAAGTTACCAACTACCAGGTAAGAAATTCCACTCCTGGGCACTCAAGAACTGCATCGATTTTAAACACAACCCTTTGCAGGGCCTCGAGTAGTTTACTTTTCCTGTCCTAGTGGGCGATTCCTTCTTGGAAGGTGAAATCCTCTCCGAAGTAGCGGTTCCTTAGCCCCATCCCCAAGGCAAGGAATGACGGCGAGCCCCGGAGGCCCAGCGGCCCGGGCCGACGCTGCCGCGCCTGCGCCCGTCAACCCAGCTACAGCTCACGACCTCGGGGGGGGGGGTCCCCAGAACCTGGTCACCACCTCCAGGGGGCATCTGAGGGACCGGGGACTGGCTGCTGTGCTACTGACCCAAGAGTAACCGGAGTTGAATAGGCAATCCGGATACGGTAGAACGGCTGGCAAAATCCAAGTGTCACTTTTCCCACACAGCGCCGGAAGTTACCTTCCTGACTTCCGGCGAAGGTCCAGAGTCCTCGCACGGCTTTATGGGAAATGTAGTTTAACAGTCACAGACAAGGATGGAGCTGTGGTGGTGGTGGTGTCTCACAGCCGAACCTGATTAGTGGTGGGTTAATGCTTCCCTTGAGATCAAGGTGTGTGAAGTAAAGGGTAGGTAGGCCACGAGAAAGCTCTATCTGTGGGAAATATTCAGTTTGTCAGTATTTCTCACTCAGAACCAATTTTCTCCTCAGTCCAGTGCAGTCGAATTGTCAGAGCAAGTCTGTTGGGCTATTTAAACCACGAATGTTGACTGGGTTGACACCCAATTATGTCTATTTTCTTCAGGATAATCCTTTTAAAAGTATGCGTTCAATGGTGTAATGCATGTAAAGTTGTTAGGTTAGGACCTAGTACAGAGTTGGCACCCACTGTGCAATTATTGTTGGCTGTTATTTATTTCATTTCCTATGAATTTACTCTCCAAAGTCTACAAAAATTATGCCAGTCTGAGAATACACAGCGAGGAGGCATTATCAGTATTCAGATCCTTCTCACAGTGAAGGTGCATAGTGTGTGTGTGTGTGTGAGAGAGAGAGGGGGGAGGGAGAGGGAGAGAGGGAGGGAGGGAGGGAAGGAGGGAGGAAAGGAGAAGGAGAGGGAGAGGAGAGGGAGAAAGGGAGAGAGGGGAGAGGAGAGAAGGAGAGGGAGAAAGGGAGGAGGGGAGAGAGAGAGAAAGAGAGAGAGAGAGAGAGAGAGGCGCCCACGTGAGTTTCTGGGAGACCTAGAGCTTTCTACATACAAGATAAGCACCTTACCACTAAGTTAGCTACACGCCAGCACAACACTGTGCTCTGATAAGTGCTTTTTTTTTAGCCTTGTTCTATGCTGCTTTCTGTGAGTAGTCGCCTTCAGCCTTTAAGGACTTCATTGATCAGACAGGAGGTTAGAAAAATCCATTTCAGTTACTTCACTTGTATTCAAACATAACTGGAGTAGACAAATTAGCATAATGAGCACCCGTATATTAATAATCCAGCATCAATAGCTATTATGTATACCACTCCTAGCCATTAGGATTCTTTTGAAATAACTTCAAGATGCCGTATCACTTCATTCATATTTGCAAATAAGCCTTTTGGAGTTTAAAAATATGTATCTAAAATATACAAATTTTATACAAACATAATAACGCAACTAAAATTTTAACAAAAATGTGCTAACAAATAGATCTTCAATATCAAATCTACCCAATTATTTCATGTTTTATTTTACTGCTTTATTTTAAAATTTAAGACATTACATTTCATGTCTTAGATTTTCTCATGTAATTTTTTTCATCTTACTGTTTATGAAAGTTGCTTTTTTTGTACGCAACATTTAAAGAAATGACAACAAATTTTGGTTACAAAATTTGATGAATAATGATCATTTTGGTCTGTTGAATCTCATACATTCTTATCTTTTTAGATTGTATTTTTATGGTGTCTTTTTCTTTTGCATTTATTATAAGGAAGTGTTAAAGTACATGATTATTTAGGTAAAGGGTTTTTCTTTTTTCTCTTACACAATGCACTGATTATTATTTTTTAGTTATATCACAAAATATAGGAAACTAACACATTAATCTATTTGGAACAAAACAGTATAGGCAATCATGCTGTGCACAAAATCTAGTAACCATGGAATATTAAGTAATAATAGCCTGAACCACACCAAATTTCAAATCTCACACTTTATTAGTTTAAAAACCATTTAAACAAGTATATTAAAGATATTGTGCTAGTTTTGATCCATAATTAGAAGATGTACATCATGATGATAACAATGCTTCCAATTTCTGTTGGTGTTTGGTCACTGTGCCTTTCTTTTTCAGTTCACATATAGGCATTAAATATTTCTGAAATAATATGGCATCTTGAAACTATTTCACATATCTGTTCACATACAGACAATAAAGCATAAGGTTGCATTTCTTTTTTGTCTCTCAGTGATAACAGTACAAAACAATAGATAAGGAAATGAAGAAATCTGTTAACAAAAATAAAAGAGCCTAGATTAAGCTGACAATGGGAATACCCTCAGGCCTCTAAATTCTTTTAATCAAACTTCTGTTGTTTAATAGCTTACTTCTTTTCTGGCATGACAAAATGTTTTAGACTCATCTTGTAGATATTCTGCTGCAGACCCCATTGGACATTCCTCTAGAAGCTTACATATCTTTTAGTCAGAAGTGATATTTAGGTTACCATAGTATTTGTTTCTGGGTGCCCAGTATTAATGGACTGCTGAATACTTCTCTTCCTATAACCCTATCCTACAAGAAACTGAATAGATACAGATCCTTTCCAATAGAAGTTCCAGGATAACAATAATGTCCACGTATATAATAAACAAATGAAATACATTCTTCATTTTATTGCTCTTACATTTAGAAACACGATCGCTTAAAAAAGACAAAATTCTTTAGCTGTAGATACTCTTCTTAAATGGATCCAGCATGTAGTTTCAGCTACATGTTTTCAAGAATTCTTGTATAAGTAGTCTTTTTGATCTAATTAAACTGGCCTATACTCTGATCTAGCCATCTCTTATGTTTTCCTACCTTAATCCAAAGTCCTAGCTACTTTCCAGAGCCCAAGCCTATTGGATCATGCTGGTCATTTCTGTACAATGGATTTTCAATTTCCCACCAAAATACTCTTGCTCTTACTAGTTTAGTGTTTGTTGACCATTTTTCTTTTTTCCTCTCCTTCATTTCTTTCTTTCTTTCTTTTTTCTTTTTCCTTCCTTCCTTCCTTCCTTCCTTTCCTTCTTTCCTTCTTTCTTTCTTTCCTTTCTTTCTTTCTTTCTTTCTTTCCTTTCTTTCTTTCTTTCTTTCTTTCTTTTTCTTTCATCATGGGGCTTCAACACTGGAGCTGGGCACTGCCTTCAGCTCAAGGCGAGCACTCTACCACTTACGCTATAGCACCACTTCCGGGTTTCTGGTTGTTTATTGGAGACAAGGGTCCCACACATTTTACCGCCTGGTCTGGCTTTGAACCATGATCCTCAGATCTCAGCCTCCTGAGTAGCTAGGATTACAGGCATGAGCCACCAGTGGGTGCCTGGCTTGCTGACTATTTTTCTAAATGCCAGAACCTGATTTTTTTTTAATCCCCGAGGCCTTTTCTTACTGTCATGTCACATTTTGCTCTCCTTAGGTGATCATCCAAGCCACACAATTATAATTCTGTTTGGAAACAGTCTTCAAACCAATGATGAGATTGTCACCTGAATTTGTACATAAAATTCTCAGCGTTTCCCTCCATCTTGCTAAGAGGAAACTATTCTATACGAGCTTCCAGATATTCTCAATGTGATCAAATTCTTTTTATCTGTCCAACACTTGGGGCTCCCTCATTTCCCTATCATCCTTTCCTTTCTTCTCTTCTCTACCATTTCCTCCTAGACAACAAATTGCCTATGTATGTTTGTCTCAGGAATTAATTCTAGGAAAAACAAAACTACGGAAGAAATTTTTCCCCCTCCTTCCAATTGGTAATCTCTCCTATGTAGCAGTTAGCTTCCTATGTACAGGTTGGCAGAGTCATTAACCCTCACCAAATAAATTAGTCCCTATTATCAGTCATTCTGAAACACATTATATGCTGTTGCTTTTATAAGAACAGTGTAATTATGAATGCACGAGTTTGGATTGATTGCCCTTGAGATCAATAATCTGGAATCCAAACCATAAACCATTGTTTTGTGTCTCTGCCCAAAGAATCAGTTCACAAAATGGCTTTTTCATATTTCCAGTCCTTCTATGACCACATGCATCTCTGTGCTTTACATTTAGCTGATCATGAAAGTTACCTGCTACTTCTTTGTCCTTCAAATAAATGATGCTTATAATGTATAGACTATTTCTTTTTTGAAGTATATAAACCACAATTCATTTTTAAATGGATATGTCACATGTATATGAGAGGAAAGTAAACTAAACTTACTTTTTTGCACTGCACTGTGTCCTAAGACAAAGAGTATGCCAACTGTACCTTGTAAATTTAGTAAAATAAATGTTTTTTGTTAGAGAAAGATAGTTTTCTGAATAATGTATAAAGAAAAGATTTGCAAATAATTTTACTTGATAATTATATTTGCACTATCTGAACATATCCCTTGTTCTTGCTGCACTTTCTTTGTATTTTTGCATTAACACTTTATGTATTTTATTCTTTTTATTAATAGATTTAAATTCTTTTCAATGTTTGGAGTTGACTTTTTAAAATATAGTAATTATTATAGTAATCACTGATTTCTTTTCATAGATAATGCAACTAAAAAGATGGCAGATGATAAGAATGAAATGTAATGGAAATTATGCATTAAGTATATTCAACTTATATGTAAAATTTTAAAAACTGATTTGAACAATGCATGTGGTCTTTGGCATGAGATGGGTTCACATGCATGAGAGATTCCAATTTAGTTATATTATATGCATATTTTTATTCTTGAATATAGTGAATTTACTCCAGTCTTAGAACCTTTGCTATAATTATTTCTTATTTTTAAAATACGCTTCTAGATTTTCTAATTATAGGCTCGTTCTTGACATTCTTGTGTCAGCTCAACTGTCATTTTTTTCCCAAGAACTTCCCTGATCACTGAGTTCATTGTAGCTCCTCTGCTGATATTTTCTTATTTTAGGGTTTTTGTTTTTGGTGCTGGGGTTTGGAACTCGGGGATTTGCACTTATTAAGCAAATGCTCTACAACTTGAGCCATGTTTTCATCCTTCTTTGCTTTACTTTTTGGATGGGAACTTCTGCTGTTTTAGAGGGTGATCTTGGACTTTAATCCTCTTACTTGGACTTCGATCTTTCTCCTATCCCCAATAACAGTCATGTGACACCATATAAGCTTTGTTTGTTAAAAAGAGTCTCACTGACTTTTTAACCTGGAACTTATCATCCTTCCATCTGTGCCTCCTGAGATTACAAGAATGAGCCTCTATTCTAGGTATATC